CAATTCAAGAATGGATTAGTAATCTATAATACAAATAGTAGAATATACTCCAACTGAAGCAAGAAAGGAAGCAAAAAGGATGGAAATATGGGTTCTTGGGGATCCTGAAATCTGGGCATAACACAGATAGTAGAATATATTCCAACTGAAGCAAGAAATGAAATAAAAAAGGATGGAAATGCTGATAAGAGCCTAAGAGATATAGGGGATATGTAAAAATGTTCAGGCACAGGTAATATTTGAAGAGAGAGCAGCTGAGGATTTCCCAACACTTACAGGAATCTCTGCGAACCCCAAACAAAATAAATGCAAATAAAACAATACCAAGGGATAGTGAAAATCAGCCAAATGAGAGGGAAACAAAACATATTGTCATCAAAAAACCGTATTACCTTCAAAAGAACAATAATCAGACTGATATCTGATTTTTCAACAGTTTTCAGTAATGAAGATAAGAAAAGATTAGCATATCATCTTTAAAGTGCTGAAAGGAAAAAATAACAAACCTAGAATTCTCTACCCAGTAAAAATATGGGAAGATGAAATAATAATAAAATAATACTGGATCAATACAAAATGGGCAAGAAATAAAGAAAACATAACTGGCAGGATAAATATATATGTATAAATGCATGTGTATAAATGATAGGCAGTTCTCAAGAGACATAAAATTCAGAATAAATGAAAGTAGGAGAAGAAAGAAAGAGTAAAAAGTACAAAAGAAGAAAGGTAACTGCTATCCAAGGAGAAGGTGGACAAGTTCAGGGAAGACTTACTTCAAGGATGATATTGGCATTCAACAATGATAATAAATCATATCCTTCTCCCTCCAAGTACAGAAATAAAAAATAAATACAGGAGTCAGAAAGATGGGGAGCAAAATATGAAATATAGAATGGATGGAGCTGAACTTAAAATTGCTGCTTGTTCTGCAGTCACAATGGGCTTCTTATTTTCCCAATTCTGTTCTCTTCTCAGGAATGGACTGAAAGTTTCCTCATGAAATCATGAGGCCTGGGCAGCAGGTTTGCCCTGTGGTTGACATGGCTTTTGAGCTGGACCTTAAAGGATTGTTAAGTTTACACATTTAAAAATTGGAGGGACAAAGATAGAGGAACACTTGGAAGCAAGACTTTTTCCCTCTCTGTGTTTTCAGTCATCTAGGCAATGAAGGAATGATTTTAACAGTACTAAGTATAAAATGAATGAAATGCCTAGACATTAAGTTGGCTGAAACATGCCATCTCCTAGCTCAGTCCCGTTATACATGCTGTGCCTTATGCTGTTCCTATACTCTCCTAACCCTCAGCCTCACTCCACCCCCCTCATCTAGTTAAAGATTACTCATCCTCTAGATCTCAAGATCTCAGAGAGTTTTCTCTGACCCACACACAAATTTAAGTTCCCCTGCCATATGTATGTTCTCATGAGATCTAGAATAATTTATAATTACATATGTGTGATTATCTGGTTAATATTTGATTCTTCCAACAAATTATGAATTTCATGAGAACAGGAACCAGATCAATTCCATCCTGCCTTACATTCCAGGCACCAATCACAGTTGTTAAATATTTGTTGAATAAGAGTCCCAGGTCAATGATAAGCTACATAAAGGTGCTTAAAGTTATAGATAAGGAAAGAATTTAAAAAAAAAAAAAAACAAGAAAGAGATGACTGATACCTTTGTTAGAATTGGGAGCACTGGAGAACTTAAAAATGAAAATCAAATAAGGCTGCCAATCTTTGGGCAGGAATTATTTGCCCATTCTCCTCCAATACAATCAACCACAGAATAAGTATACACACTGACTAAAAGAGTATAAGCCTGAGAAACAGACCTCAATAAGGCTCTTCAGCCCACTGCACTCAGCCAGAGAACAGGCTGGGCGAACTGAAGGAAGAAATAAATAAAGATAGCCAGAAGATTCTCCCTGCTCTAATGGCTCAGCATAGCTAATACCTACTCCAAATAATGATGATTCTGGATAAAAGTCAGGGGTACGCTAGTAATTACCCTGCTGGTTAATTACCTTATCTCAAATTCAAAGGAGGAAAAAGTGGTTAACTTGATTTCAAATACACACAGGGCCCCAAACTCGGTGGCAACTACTAGTGCTCGACACCACTGCAGTGAGCTGGTTCCTCTGAAAAACTGTGTCCGCCTGAGCTGCCAAAGCCAAACACTGGGGAAGCATCATGCACCTGAATCTTAAAGAATATTTACGAAAGCAAATAAGGTGAGCAAATGACATCAATGGTAGAAAAACAATGCGCAGCTCACTTCCTGGTTGCCCTAGGCATATCTGCTGCTTAAACAATAACAACAGACTCTAATCAGTAAGCCTCTCAGCTGCCAAAATTTTACAAGCAACTCGCCTATTTGAAATGTCACATTTCCCATCTGACATAAATGTTTGCCTTCTGCTCACATTCCTGAGGCGTAATACAAAATGGGCCCAAACTACAATTCGCGTTGGCACAAACTATTTAATTTTTTCCTTGTAAGTGACCCAGACTGTGCATTATGAAAATTGTGAAGCCCTGGTGGTCCCTGCTGGTAATTGGAATAGGGCAATGAAGCCAGGGTTGCTTCGCAGCCTAGGTTTTCCACATTATTTTCCATGTGGGAAGGTCTTGACTAGCTCATTCGAGTCCACTGAGACTTGGTTCAGGCCTCAGTGACCTTTTTCATGTAAGTGCAAGACGGACTGTTATCTGATTTCTGGAAAAATCATACTAGTGAGACTTTTTATGCAATTTTTTCAAACTAAAGAAATAGATCTGATTTTTTAAAAAATCATTAAAAACATAACTTGAAAAAATATTTAAGGAAAAACAATATGAAAATAATAAAAAGTGAAAAAGGCTAATTGAAGATATTTCTATAACCAAAATCACATTCGTTGGTTAAGTAGGTTTATGTCAGTATATAGATCTTCTCATTACTCGCAGGAAGCAAGAAATTTAAACCATCGGGAAAAATGCCCAACCAATGTATTTTTGTGCCCTCCTATAAAATTAACTTTATATTGTAAATGTACTAAGTGCAAACTAGAACATTTTGTCTCCAAGTGTCATCCACACACGTGAACTCTGTCCGAATCCCCTGGGGTAGTGGCTGAAAACACAGATCACGAGATGCCACCAAAGACCTTCTGAATTAGACTCTCCCTTGGCACTAGGCCCAGGAATGTTCATTTTTAACAAGCTGGCCCTCCCAAAGTCACCCACAGCCCAAAACCAGTGTGCTTGCTCTACAAACTTGGCTCTTGATAAGTCCATAGCTATCCCTTCTAATGCAATTGGAGTCCCTAAACTGCTCTTATACAGAAATTCAGAGCAACCTAGGGTATCACAGTTAAGAAAACCTTTCCTTGGACTATGTGATTCCATCAGATTTCTGATCTCACTTAAACCAAGTCTGCTGGTTAATAGAATGCTTGAAAAACAAACCCTTCAGTAGAGTATTGTGATGTTCAGAAGCAGAATATAAATGTTAATTGCTTCCAATTACCCTCAACCCAGGCAACCAAAGAAGCCAGAATAGGGCTTACGGAATGTCATCATTCCCAAACCAAGTACACCCAGACATGCTAACTCCTGTCTGGTTATAAAGAAGTCCCCATCCAATAATCGTGACCATAATTCATGATTATGCTTATGACTGCCTAAACACTGTAAGCAACACCAAATCCCATGGAAACTGCCCCTTCCCTAATGTTAGTTCAACATTGACTTTGAAATATTCTTCCATACTAAATTAGGAATGCGAGTTTTCAAAACAAACAATTCTAATTTGGAACATATTTCAAAAGTCCTTTAAGCAAAAAAGGATACCTATGTTTACACAAAAATGCTAACCAGGAAAGGAAAAAGGACTCATCTACATAATCATCAGTGAATTAGCATAAAGCCTCTCTCAGTCCAGCCCATATGGGAAGATGCCCCCAAAAGAAACATTTATGCCCTAACTTGTTTGGCTCAGTGGATAGAGCGTCGGCCTGCGGACTCAAGGGTCCCAGGTTCGATTCCGGTTAAGGGCATGTACCTTGGTTGTGGGCATATCCCCAGTGGAGAGTGTGCAGGAGGCAGCTGATCAATGTTTCTAACTCTCTGTCCCTCCCCTTCCTCTCTGTAAAAAATCAATAAAATATATCTTTAAAAAAAGAAAAGAAACATTTATAATATATCTTCAGTATTCTTAAGTGTTTGGTTTACATATTTAATAAATTTTTATGAAAGCAAAGATTTGGATTTTCTTTTGTTTATGATCAATTCTGATATTTTTTTATTTTTATGATCAATTGATATTCTATGTTTCATTCCAAAATAATCTCAATTTACAACATGGTGCTTCTAAGAAATTGGGTTTGACTTATATGACTTTACTTGAGACAATCATTCAAAAATCAAGCATATAGTATATCAGTGTGGAGAGGGGCAGAGGGAGAGCAGACATCTTTATTTCATTCAAGATGCAAGACTTTACAACAGTGGTTCTCAACCTTTCTAATGCCGTGACCCTTTAATACAGTTCCTCATGTTGTGGTGACCCCCAACCATAAAATTATTTCTGTTACTACTTCAAATTTTGCTACTGTTATGAATCGTAATGTAAATATCTGATATGCAGGATGTATTTTCATTGTTACGAATTGAACATAATTAAAGCATAGTGATTAATCACAAAAACAATATGTAATTATATATGTGTTTTCCGATGGTCTTAGGCGACCCCTGTGAAAGGGTCGTTCGACCCCCAAAGGGGTCGAGACTCACAGGTTGAGAACTGCTGCTTTACAACCTTCAACAGGCTTTGACCTTTCCACTAAAATCTCTGTTACTGAAAAAGAAATTGCAGAACTCCAGTTTTCCCTGTCTCAGGGAAGATGGAGATAGGATTGCCAGGAAAGAAAAAAAAAAAAAAGCTGCCTAAAGTATTACTTGTAGCTTCTAGAAAGAGGCCAGACAGTTTAGAAAGAAAACAGAAGGCATACCCTTGCTCATTTGGGGCTTAATCTCTTCATCCATGTCCAAATCTTCTACTTCTAGGAAATTATCTACCTAGAGAAGGATTAACATTATTTTTATGCATATTAGACTTTTTTTTTTTAAAAAAAAGGCAATTAAGAATCAATGAATCCACTTCCAAAACACTCAAGTGAGCAACTGAACCCAATTTTCTCATTAACTTGAGTCCCAGCTAAAGGTCTGTGTTCACACAGCTTTCCCAGAGACATCTGAAAGAAGCAGTAAATTTGGAAGTTGGCCTGGATTTTGCAGGCACCATAGTAAGATCTTTATACTGAAAGGGAAAAGAACCATCTGGGGAGTTCTTGAAAAGGGACTTCATTCCAGATTCTATCCCAGAATATATTCCATAGCCAAGACAGTCCAAAACAGTGTTGTGCACGGGTGGGGCCCCTCTCGGTGGCCTGCGGGGATTGGGCCGAAACCCGAAGTCCAATGCCGCCTGCAGCTCCTACCTGCTGCTCCCGCTCATCCCGGTCCCACTGCACCTGCCGGCTTGCGCCCATCAGTCTTGATCAGGAGAGGATCACCAGCCGTGAGCCCTGCGGCTGGCGCCCTCCGAAGGCAGTGGCCTGCGGGTTCGGGCTGAAACTGGCTCTCTGACATCCCCTGAGTCCTGGATTGCAAGAGGGCACAGGCCAGGCCGAGGGACCCCACTGGTACACGATTGGTGGAGAGGGACTGCAAGAGGGCTGCAGGGCGAGTCTTGCTCAGTCCCGATCAGCTGGACTCCAGCAGCAAACTAACTACCAGTTGGAGCGCCTGACCCCTGGTGGTCAGTGCACGTCATAGCGACTGGTCGACCAGTCCAACAGTCACTAACCTTTCAGACCTCACAGACCACCAGTAGTCCAGAGACCATCGGTTGGCGACTGCCGCTTCAAAGGTTTCCTTAAACCAGTGGTCACCAGCCTTTCGGACCTCACGGACCACCAGTGGTCTGCGGACCACCAGCTGGCGACTGCTGTACTAGTCGACTGTCTGCTCCCTGGTGGTCAGTGCACATCATGGCGAGTGGTTGAGTGGCCTTAGCATATCATTACCATATTACGTTTTGATTGGTTGAACAGTCGCCCTGGTCACCAGACAACCAGATACTTAGCATATTAGGCTTTTATTGTATAGGATTATTACTGCTGCTATTGTTTTATTGCTTTTGCTTCTCAAGCAAATGATGGTGGTGGGTCTGGCTATTATCATAACAGCACATTTTTCACCGGAAAGAACCAGAAAGTAAAAAAAAAAGAAAAAAAGAAAGAAAGCAGGAGAGAAGGGTTCATTCAAAACAAAATCATCCTGCCCTAGCTGATTTGGCTCTGTGGATAGAGCGTCGGCCTGTGGACTGAAGGATCCTGGGTTCAATTCCGGTCAAGGGCACATACTGCAGTGGCAGGCTCCTGGGCCTTGGTCAGGGGCATGTGGGAGGCAACCAATAGATGTGTCTCTCTCACGCTGGTGTTTCTCTCTCTGTCTTTCTTCCACTCTCTCTAAAAATCAATGGAAAAAATATCCTCGGATGAGGATTTAAAAATAAAATAAAATATAAATATCGTTATAAAAAAAAATCATCCTGCCCAGGTAAATCACAAGCAAGGTGAGCAGGGCAAAAAAATCAAGTGTTCTCTCTTTCAAGCAAATAAAACTGAAAATTACTTCAAAGGTAAAAAAAGCAGAGCAAATGACCTTTACAGACACAATAGCGACATTTCAATGAAAAACTATTCCATGAGGAGTAACTGCTTTCCACTGCAAGCTGACAATGAGACATTTTAGATTAACAAAATGGTAACATTTCAGACACCAAACTAATTCATCTCAGGTGAATATCAAAGAGTGTAAATAAGAAAATGATTTCACCACTGGCTCCAAGGAGACCTAGAGTAAAGGCATAATGTCAAAACACCTTTTATGCTTATGACCTGAAATATGTGCATAACAAAATACCTTCAAATTGCAAATTTAGAACTCATAATTAGAATTCAAAAGATAGCCTGGGCCTGTCTTCTTTCAGCTCTATTTGTCAGACCATGGCTCTTACATAGGAATTTAAAAGGGTAGCTTCCAGGGCTTGTAAGTACAAAACTGCAGTTATTTCCTGGCATCCAAGTGACAGGAAAAATTTATCTTCCATATGCCAGTTTCAGTACGAAAATGGAAGAATCTGTTAAATCCCATTTCTCTTAATGGTATATGCTAAAGGGGACTAGAGCCACATTTCCCTATCGAAGCACCCCTTCCATTTATTAAGCTTTGGGGGAAAAGATCTGGAACCTAGACAACCATGCATAGTGTAACGTTCTCAAAAATAATTTTTTTTAAAGTATAAGGGCAAAATCTGCTGAATTCCCCAACTTGTATGAGACAGCAAATGAGTCCTGTGGGTTTTTCTGCTTTTATAGTTTTTGGGGGGTTTTGCCATGGAAACAAAAATTAAATCATGCCTTACCTTCACCTTTCCTGCCCAATTTGGATCACCTTGAAAGGAAATGCCAACTTGTTGGCCTTCATCCAGCACTATCTGAAAAATACAAGGAAGACATATTGATGGGAAAATGGAACAACTGAAAATAAAGGCGCTGATCCTGTAGCCCTTCAGACAATAAAACTTTCCTTCCAGCTTTTGTTAATTAGCTATGCATGATGGAAACCATCCCATCCGGTGAACCCTTGAAGGGCAAACTGGAAAATGCTAATACAACTTTTTCAAGTTATTAGAAAACAATGCCATTGAACAATCCTTTGTGTCCAACATGCTGGTCAAAGATTCAATAGATGATATCATTCCAGTGGCTAAAGATTGCCAGTAGATGGTGAATTCACTGGGGGACAAAGTGTCTGTCCCACAATTATCTCTCTCTATATATATATAGCCTCTGCTATATATAAGCACATTTCTAATGCAGAGATTTTTGTTCCCTTGGATAAAATCATAAATACAATTCTGTCCACAATATCACAGGGAAGATGTGATAAAGCAAAAACTCAAATGGCTTAAAAAGTAGAACATTTTTTGCTGGAGGCAAAGACCAAAAAGTAGTTAACATGTAAATGCGAGAGGTCGGTCAGAAGGCTGATGGACCTTGGGCTTTAGCAAGGGCTAAAAACTATGCACCGATTGTTCTGTGGAGACAATGGTGGCTGAAGGCAATCTCTTAATCTGATAATCTTTTACTGTTTACCAAACCTTACCTTTGATATGTCTGTTTGGTTTGCTAAAAGACAAATGTATATTCTAGTAAATAAAAGGCCTTGGGTCCGGACATTCAGAGAGCTTCGCCACTAGAGTGAAGCCTCCGCCTGGTTCCCCATGCCTTCTAAATTTATATTTCTTGTCTAGTGTATCCATTTATGCATGGCCCCTTCTCCGGATTCTGAATCCTTGCTACAAAAGGCTGCAGCAATTTTCCATGACTATATCTACTGCCTTGTCTTGATTTATAAGCAAAACCTGGACAACCTACAAAAATGTGTTTTGTAGTTTATCTAAGAAAATATTGCTGTTATTTTTAATGAAGAAAATCAATCTTTATAGTTTATTTCAACCTAAATAAAATACGCATTTGGTTTTAAAAAATAATAACTTTCACTTAGATTCCTTGATATTACCACAGCTAAGGATAATATGACTACAGTATATTAAGTCTTGAAGGTTTGGGAGAGAGCATATAATATTCATTGACCAAATCCTGGAAAAAAACAAAGATAACAGCTTCTACTTTAAGCTCGAAAGAGGTGAATTCAGAACAGGTAGAAGAAACTCCCATTTTTATACAGAGAATTTAAAAAGGAATTCTTTGGTTCCACATAGAGGACAAGTTAAAATGTATTTCAAGAAGAACTTGTAGATGACAAATTCTTAAGAGGTTTTTCTTTTTGTTTTGTTTTGTTTTTTATCCTCACCTGAGGATATGTTTACTGGTTTTAGAGGTGGGGGAAGGGGCAGAGAGAGAGAAACAGCGGTTGAAATGTAGGTTAGTTGCTTCCCATACACGCCCCGACCGGGATTGAACCCAGAGCAGAAATCGACCCACAAACTTTCAGTGTATGGGATGATGCTCCAACCAACCGAGCACACCAGCCAGGCTGTTAAGAGGTTTTTTTAACAAGAATTGGGGATAACCAAGTTATCATCATAAACACTGGCTGTTAAAATCATACAATGTAATAATGATTTTCAATAAAGTGTCCCAATGACACTCCTTCTAGAATTTGGAGTCTGAGTGATTGGTCTAATAACTGTCCAGTGTCTCTGATGTTCTTCCAGATATTTTTTAAATTAATCAAGAACGTCTGTTCTCAGACTGTTTCTAAAAGTATTACCTGTTCCTCTCCTGAAGACTGTGATGAAGTATGAAAAAAGATGGCTTTACTCCTAAGGCGGTGATCATTTGGTTCATTTTCATGAGTAAGTTGTACTGAAATAAATATGTCTTCTGAAGATCTGGTTCCAAATAAGCCTCTTTGGGTCACTTTATCCTCTGAAATAATAAGTGACAAAATATTGGAAAACATCCACCACACCCAGTCTAGTTCATTTCCGGTTGAGAATCTTCCTTCCAAACAAAACAAAACAAAAAAATAGTTTTCAAAGAAATCTATAAATGCAAAAAAGATAACACTATTTCATTTACTACACAAAAATATGTTACGTGCTTACTACCTACCCAGCATTGTTCTCAGTCACTGTTAAAAGGTTGATAAAGTATAGTACTTCCAAGTCTCCTTGGCATTACCTACCTCATTTTTTTTTTCCTAAATTTGAGGGGGATTTTTTTCTTATATGAAAGCAATATATGGAGGATTTGAGAACATTTGTAAGATAAAACATAAAAATTTGAAAAGTACTCCTAGTAAGACAGAAAAGCTGCAACAACATTTTTTCAGTGGTATTTTTCTCATATTTTTACCTATGCATTTTGTTCGAGGTAACACAGCTGGTAAACAGCAGAGTGGGGATTTGAATCCAGACCTTCTGACTAAGAACCCATGCTCCTAACCACTGTCTATGCCACTTAGAATCATACCACAAAGGAAGGGAATGAGTCCTTAGAAAATAGAAGAATGACATGAGAAAATAAAAAAAATTCCAAAAAGAAGACAAAGAAGAAAAGTTTACAATAGTACAAAAAGAACCAAAGGTGCATGGTACATTCCAAAATAGAACTCATTTGCTGCAACCGCAATAACAAATACAGGACTCCACATCAGTGATCACTAGACAAGTGATAAAAGAGTCAAAAGAGACCAAGATGCTGTGAGGGTGGTAGAGTAAGGTTTCATCCCCTTACAATACTCTACCATGAGACACAGGGACTGTTTCTTCTGTGAGCTCCTTAGGCAGGTATGTAACTGCAGAGGTTATGAGAGAGCCTAACCCAGTGAAGTGGCCATGCTTGCTCTTGAGCTGTTAGTTGCATGGCATGAAAATAGGTGAGATTCTCGTTGTTCTAATGATCATAGCCTGGTGCTAGTCCAGTCAGGATCCTTTGTTTGCTTCTGAATACCCATCACTAGTAGAATTAAAACCTATAGGGATGCCTAAAGGACATTAATTCTGAGATACTGTTGGGGAGCAAAGGTAAGATAACCTGGTGTATAATTATTAACTCAATCAGCCAGAGAGGCAAAACACAAATATTGATTGAATTTAGCGCTTTCTCTGTAAAAGGGTCATATGAGTAAATGACACACGCTCAGGCCAGCTCTCCCTACTGCCTCCTGCACCAACATCCATGGCTCCTAACAAGCTACTCCTGGGAAGGTGACCCCTGCCCTTGGCCTCAACATCCCATCAGCAACTCTGATGTGAAGCACTAGCTTGGGCTGCTGGGGTACAGGGGCTGGGGGCGCTGAGTGAGTAGGGTAATGGGAGAGTTGCTCAGAATATTGCTGCAGTAACCAGCACTGTGAAAGATCGGGTAAGTGAGGAAGGAATAGCCTTAGGATTTATCCCCCTGAGGTCTTCCTCTTTTATAGCCACAAAGATGTCCTAAATCAGTCCTAGGGCAAAGATAAGCAGTGTAGTAGCATGGTAGAGCAAGATAGTCCTAAAAATGCTTGGAAACAGGAGAAGTTCTCTGAGAAATGAAAGGCTTCCTCAAAGTTAGACTCAGGGCTTCCTGTGGCCACCTGCCATTCTTCAGTGCACTGTTCTAATACGAGGTGGAATTACTTCAGTTCTCCCTGCTTATCCTTTAAGGCTTGAACAGACTAAATCTAGTATTTACTAAGAAAATACTGTGTACCCAGCACACTATTGTAACAGTCTATTGACTTAAATGCTTGGAAGGCATTTAGTGAACAGATATTCCATAAGGACACGTTCTATTTGTTCTCATATCACACAAGGTACTGCCATTTCCAATAAAATAACCAGGGTATTTGACAGATGAAACTCCTTTGAAAGAAAGAGCAAAATATAATGAAGTCCCCACTTCTGATGCTGATGTTGAAATGCTGGTGGGGACTCAGATCTAATAAAATTTCTTGTTCACGCTTTTAAAATTTCTTCATTTTGGAAACATAAAACTTTCATTTTTAAAATATTATGTGGGCAAAAGAAGGGTGCTGTAATAAATTACAAATTCCTAACTGGGCAGATCATGGTGGGTAGTCATGCCCATGCCTACAACTTCTTCAGAAAGGTGTGTAAGCCAGCCCTGCCCATTGTTCTTATGCATCTAGATCAACACACCTTTGAAATGCCAGAAGTAATACCCCTTGAAGACATAACCACTCTCAACAGAGCACAGAATCTTAACTCTCCTGGGATCCTTTCCCTGCCTTGCTTTCTCCCACCTTCACTTAATCTTCCTTAAGTTCCCTCAATAGCAAGTGCATACAAGAAATTGCAAACTGCTATTCTCCTATTCTCCTGAGCATTTGAGATCTTGCTTCCTGGCAACAGTAAGTTTGGCTCAAATAAATTCTTAGAAAAATTCTCTACAGGTTTGGATGTTCTTAGGTCAGCAAGAAGAAGATTCAGGAAATAACTTGTTCTCTCTCCAATTGCTCCTACAGTTTAAGGCTCCTTCCTACTCCTCACATGAATACATACTATATCACTCCAAAGACCCAGAAGTGATTCTTCCAAGGCTTTTATCACTTTCATAAAAAAACAACAAATAATAAATCTCTTGGCAGAATGAGGTAGGAAAGAAGTTCTTTTTCAGTATGATAATGTCAAAATGAATCCAAAGGGGCCTAAACCTGATGAGAGACACTGCTTCCCAGAGTTGTCCTGGTGGCCTGGTGACAGTCCACATGAGCCACCCAAGTGTTTGTTTTTCATCAGTCCTTTTTTCAGTATTTCAACTTGTCCCTAATATTTCTTGCTTTGAATTAAGTGTCAGACATAATAAATAAATAAAAATCTAACAGCAATATTTCAGAGAACAAGTAGGTTGTTCAGACCTGAAAGAGTATCTCTTTGGCATTTGTTTTTACAAAAAAAAATATATTTTTATTGATATCAGAGAGGAAGGGAGGAGAGAGAGATAAAAACATCAATGATGACAGAATCATTGATCCACTGCCTCCTGCAGGCCCCACACTGGGGATCAAGCCCGCAGTCCAGGCATGTGCCTGACCTGGAATCAAACTGTGACCTCCTGGTTCTTAGGTTGGTGCTCAACCACTGAGCCACGAAGGCTGGGCTACGTTCATAAAACCCAGGCATGTGCCCTGATCAGGAATCGAACCATGGCCTCCTGTCATAGGTTGATGTTCAACCATTGATGTTCAACCACTGAGCCACACCAGCCAGGCTCTTTGGGCATTTCTGAGTAAAAACTTCAATACAAGTGAAACAAAGGTTTCTTAAAGGTTTTATTATTCTGAAGCAATGGAATTTAAAAAAATTTTTATTACATACCGAGCATGCAAACTTCCAACAGATCTGCCTTACTAGGCCACACGAGCTGTACCTACAATGTCTAATTTCAGGCCAAAGCAAAAGGTTCCACTCCTTGAAAAGATTGAAACTACTGATGCCTTGATAAATTACTACTAATCATGCATTGATTATATGGCTTCCAGATGAAAGTGATCACTTTCAGAGAAGTCTATTTTGAAAGAAACTCTGTAAAAACTCAGATTCATCCATACAAGAGCCAAACCAGTGTCCACACGCTGAGAAGCGTCGCCACCCTGGCAGGAGAGTTTTCACAGATCTACACCAACCTCATCAGAATTCACGGCCAGGTCCTGTCAGCACCGCTGAGGCTCTGTTCTTCTGCACCATGGTCAAGAGCAATATAAATCAAGAGCAGGTTCTCGGCTGCAAACAGATACTGAGTATGTTGCTAGAAGGAACGAAAAATTCATGGGGGATATTTCTGTGCAACTCTGAGCAGTTGCAAAAGGCCTTCTGCAAAGAGAATAGGGGATAAGCAATCATGCTTATAACAAGGTTGGGTACTTTGAAAGCCATGGGGTGATTTTCACATTATACTCCTAGCCTAGAGCAATGTTTCTCTGGACAATAATATCTGCTCCTCATTTGTCCAGCCAAACTACTTCGCTCAACTGCTTCCTGATCACATGCTACGTGGTATCTGGCCTCCCCTGGAGTGACAGTCGTTAGGATTAAATAAGCAATTTAAAAACCAATCAATCATAAATCAGAATGAATCCAAAGAAGCTAAATTCAGCAGACCGATGTTTTGTCTAAATTCCCTCTGCAGTGCTCTGAATTCCACCTGTTTTATGTTCTGCATTGAAAGGGCACAGGGAGGAGAGGATTACTTCAGCCTGGCTAGTGGGGAGTAATCGAGCTTTCCCTGAGGCCGGATGATAATTGACTCATTATTCACAGGCATAGCTCTCAAGCTGCAAATGCACAACCCAGGCCGGAAAAAACTGTGTCAAAAGCCCAAGGTGAGGGACACAATGGCAGGAAGTTGAAATTTTTCAATGTCCAGTGCTAGGCACTTACAGAGAGAAAAATGTTTAGAGTGTCAAGTTGCTGAAAGTTTCTTTCCAGGAAGAAAATCTGAGTGGCCATTGAGTTAGGCAACTCATTCGATCCAAAAGTTATATTCTGGGCCTCAACCACGTGCAAGGTGCCAAAGATGGGTAAGAACCAATCCTGTCCTCACAGAATTTAAAAACTAGGAAGTTCAGCCAGGTATGCAAACCACCAAAACAGAACACAACTATGGCAGATGATACAAGGGAGGGGCAATGGTAAAGAATGGTGAAAGCTCGCCATCGGTTTGGGAATCACGGAAGGCTTTACACAGGCATGGGGCGTCTGAACTGGGCTTTGCAACAAACTACAGTTTCAACAGGTGGACACTGCGAGGAGTTCTCCTACAAAGGGAGCAAAGCCGCGAGGTGGGAAAGCACAGAGCCTGAGAAGAGTCACCAAGTACTCCAGGGAGATGGGAGTAACACTTGGTGACACATGGGAGGGGTGATATTTGACGGGCACAGCGAAAACTCTGTACTTGACCCAGGCCTTTGGGAGTCACAGCGC